CTCTGCATTCTTGAAGTGTTTGCAAAACTGCCATTAACTCAATTTAAATTAAATTTTATAAATACCTCTAAATACCCATCTTGGGTAAATACCCCCGGGTATATATTCAGGAAATTATTCAGGAAACAACACTGCATATATTTAACTTAAGTTGGCTATCACAGTTTGATTTATTAAGCACTAAATAATTACACTTGTCGATATTTAGTTTTATTTTATTTACTAAATGTCTAAATCACTCTGAGGTTGTGTAAAGATTGAGTCCGGGACACCAGCGTAGAAAAGAACTGTGTCATCAGCATACAGCAACAAATTGCCAGTTTGATTTAGATATGAAATATTTATAAATATTATAAACAGGAGAGGGCCTAGAACAGAGCCTTGTGGTACTCCATATTTAACAAGTTTTTTGCCGCTTGCATACCCACAATACACCGTATATTGATATCGATTCTTCAAGTAATTCGTAGAGATATCCAAGATCCACATTATCATAAACAAACTGCATTACTGAAGTTATTGCAACCATGCTGATTCTCCGCAGTAAAACCAATATCATCTAAAAATTGCAGTAATCTATTTTTCAGTACCAGCTCGTATATTTTGGCAAAAGCAGTTATGACTGATATCGGCCGATAATTGGTTACTTCCACTTTAAAAAAAAAAAAACGGACTCTTCTTGTATAATATCGGTGTTATCCTCCCAATCTTTAGGAAATTCTCCTCCTCCATGCTTCTTAATCACTAGATAGAATCGGTGAGAGTATCTCTTTTAAATATTTGACAACTTTAGGCTTGATACTATCATGACCTGGAGCTGAATTAGTTTTAAGTGTTATATTATTGAGTGTTTCGGTTTCCACTTATTAGTGTTTACTTGATCTCTTACGATTTTTTCTGCAACACAGGTAAAGTGTTCATTTAGAATATTACAGATTTGTTTCGGCTCCTTCGTTTCTGAATTGTCTTTATCCAAAATTTTATGGATTCGTTCTTGCTTACTATTTATCATTATTGAATCATTTATGACCTTCCATTGCTTTCGAGCAGAATCTTCAGCATTATTAAATTTGTATTCCATGAATCGTTTTTTATTTATTATGACCAACTTCTTAACATCAGATCTAAGTGTTTTAAAACATATCTGATATGCTAAATTGTTAGGGTCTCTCTTTATAGCAACATACATGTCATCTCTCTCCTTCATTCGCATTTTTAGCTCACCTGTGAACCATCCCTCTTCAAGGTTAGTTGTTAAATTTCTATCTTTTGTTACTGTTACCTTCTTTAAACCATCCTGAATGCAATCAATGACAGTACTGAATGTCATCTGTTCGGTTATTAATGATTCAAGCTCCATTCCAATAACTCTGGCTAATAATTTAAAATTTATAATTTATAATTGAGGTATAACTTTGCTTCTCCACGCGTACACCTGCACAGTTGAGTAGTTTTTAGCAACATATGATCACTTATATGGTGCGAAAGATGCTCCACTTACAGCCTGTCCTAGAATCCACTCTTGTAGCATTTTCAGTATCTATCGTGTTTATTATTTTATAACCATTCATCTGTAACATATTAATATATTCCAGAACGATGCTTGTGTTTTGTTCCAAAAGAGATATGTTGAAATCTCCTATACAAATAGTATTTACACAGTCATAGTCATAAGCTTACAGTCATAAGTTTACAGTCATAGTCATAAGCGTTTGCTTTAGCTGTAGTTATAAGGAAAGGGATTGGTTCATGCAATCTTTAAGCACAGCACATTAAAGGAAGATTTTGACATATAAATAGTCGTGCCACAACTCGTCCCAAATTAAAAAAAAAAAGAAATCGCTAGTGAAACTTTTGTTTATTATGAATAAAAAGGAAATGGTTATCGCTGCTAGTGTAATGTGCTTGAATGCAGCTCTATTAATTGCACAAAGATTAAAAAAGAAAAGACGACAGCGTTTTGGCAAAAGACCAATCAATAAAAATAGAGAATTAGAGGGAAATTATGCCACTCTGATTAGAAACATGTTGAAAAAAGAGGAAGACGATTTGCAATTTTTTAAATATATTCGCATGTCGTTCGAAGAGTTTAAGGAATTGTTAAGACTGGTTGAATTTTCTTTAGCACAAACACCAAATAAAGGTCTAATTTCACCAGCTCAAAGGTTGATAGTAACCCTACAGTAAGTTTTTGTAAAAATTATAAAAACATTTAAATTATGTAATAAAATTATTGTAGTTATTTGTCAGATGGAAGTTCTATGCAAGAGCTAGTTTGGAATTTTCGAATGGGAAAATCCACTGTACATTATCCATATAATTAAAGAGACGACAGCTGTTCTGTGGAACGTACTACAGCACAGAGTGTTACCAGAGCTAACAAGACACATATTAGCCTCTGTTGAAGATACATTCTACAAAAGATGGAACATATCCAACTGTATCGGGGTTGTTGATGGGAAACACATCCATATACAAGCACCAAAAGCATCGGGAAGTGGGTTCTTCAATTATAAACATACCTTCAGCATTGTTTTAATGGCATGTGTAAATGCGGATTATAATTTCATTGTAGCAGATATTGGAGCAAAGGAAGAAAATAAATCATGACAGTACTATATTTAAAGAATCTTCTTTGCGGAGAACTTTTTTAAATGGAAACATAGATATCCCTTTTCCAAAGAAATTGTCTGGAACAAACGTTATACTTCCACATTTTGTTGTAGGTGATGTTGCGTTTCCTCTAATGGACAATATAATGAGACCATATCCCGGACAGTACTTAGAGTTAGAAGAAAACTTTTTCATCTATCGTTTATCTAGGGCAAGGAGGAGTCCGTTGAAAATGCCTTTGGCATACTCTGCCAGCGATGGCAAATTCTACGGAGGCCAATCATAGCTAGGGAAAATATTGTAAAAGCCACAATAGTTTTACATAACTTCCTTCGTATTGAACGGCAAAGCGAAAGGTACTATTATGGTGATACTATTCAATCAGAGTCAGGGGAAATTATAAATGGTCAGTGACGAGCTGAACCAATGCCACTGCAAAATATAGGACGGGTTGGAAGCAACAATGCGGCAAGAAGGTTCCAGAAAAACAGAGACTTGTTTGACGTTTTGGATGCCATGTTGCAACCTTCTTCAGAAAAAGACTTCGAAAAACTTCGAACTTGGTGACTTGAACCGTGCGTTTTTTGAAAAAATGTTTGACGTTTCGGATGCCCTGTTGCAACTTTCTTCAAAAACAAGTTCGAAGTCTATGAAGAAGGTTGCAACATGGCATCCGAAACGTCAAACATTTTTTTCAAAAAAACGCACAATTTAACCCGAAAGTTTCTAGTTCTAGATCTAGTGTTAGTTTTGGTGATAGTGTTAGTTCTAGTTTTAGTTTAATTAATTTAAGTGCTTTGTACCAGCTGTAATATTTCGGCTCTCAATCGCTGCTGAACCTTTGGGGGCTTTTCATTCACAAATTTACTAATAAATTTAAAAAAAGAAGCATTTGCGTCGTCTTTTTCACTAATACAATTTGTAATTATCTGCATTAATTAATTTCTGCATTTTGATGCATTCTGCCAGATTGTCTAACGAATCTGCTATTAATAAATATACCTACCATTCATTCCTACCTTACTTCCAATTTCCACAAAAACGTTTTCGTACATTAATTTATTTTTATGGTCTTTATGTTGATTTTTGTTATGTTGATTGTATTTCCGCTTGAAATAACCTGTAATAATAAGAAAGAGGGAATAAGAAAAAGTCATTGTCATAGTGAACAATTTGAGGAAGTTATTTTATAAACAACCTGAAGAATAGTTCAAATTTAGTTGTTAATCGCTTATCAACTCCTGTAGGTGTTGCAGTTTCATCTGCATGCTTAAAAAATCGGTGGGGCACGTTTCTGGTGTTGGATGTCCCATTTCCTTGAACTACTTTGTCCACTTTTATCCCTATACAGTCTTTATACAGTTTTTTTCCTGGTATCCACTACCTCCATCTCATCAGAAGTAGCCTCTCGTATGGTTGGTTTTCTCAATTCTAGTTTATAAGCTATATGCAGGATGCATTGTCAGAATTTTATCCATGCATGTGGAATATTGAGGCCATATTGCAGGTTTTTCGTCTTAATCGGTCGACTTTTAATATTTTCCAATAGATCCATTTCAGTGGGCTTACAACAACACGAATAGCATGATTGATAAATCTTCATATTTTTAGCTATATTGACAAAAACCATTTTAGTCGTAAGATGTTGCATGAACAGTACTACTATAACACAATACCTTAACTTTTCACTCTTACGACTATGCCAACAACTACGACTAAAACACGTTGCCCAACCCAACCCAACCCAACCCAACCCAACCCACCTTTAATGCCATTTCGAGCGCATCCATGAAAGGCCAGAAGAATGGGCCAGGCTTTTTGTAGACTCTCGTAATGTTTATATTGTGAAATATGGTCTAATTGATAAGAAGTTGTTACTATCCGTGTTCACAGAAGAGACCCTCTCTACACACGAGACCCCATATAACTTGGAAACTTCAGAGTCATAGCCTCGTCGTCATACAGCCAAGTTTCAACAAGAATTAGTACATCAGGTTTATGTTGTATCAAAATGACATCAACTTAATTGATTTTGTGTCTTAGGCTTCTTATATTAAATGAAATACTCGTGAAAGCTAAGGAGTTACTTGGCAAAAAATTTAAAATAAAATGACAAGTTACAATGAAAACCCATGTTATCACCACCACATTAGTACATAAATGGGTTTCTTAGAACTAATTTGTGTTTTTAATGAAATCTTGTTTTTATTATCACTTAGATTTGATACGAAACAGAAATATTAGTAATTTACGAATAATGTTTGCGATCTATTCAGTTAATGGAACGCTAATTTAAATAAAAGAACCCTAAAAATCTCAATTATATTAATATTTACAAAATCTATAAATATTTAACATTTTGGCTGCATATTATCAAATTAGCGTTCCATTAAGTTTCGATCAAGCGAGTTTTAGAACCAGCTTTACGGATAATGCATCTTATTTATTTGACATCTACTTCTCAATTTCTTTTAACATTTCCGTTTCTTCTTGATCTATCTTTATCTTTAATTTGAATTGGCGAATTTCATTATTAAACCAATTTTGCATCTCTACAACTTCTTTTAAACGCACGCAAATGTTTTCGTATTGTTCTTTAAGATCTCTGAAGACTTTTGGGAGCATTATAAAAGCTTGACTCAAGTTCAATTCAATTTCGAACAGATGTTGACCAAATTCTTTAACAGAAACTTGAAGATTATTACAGCTATTATTTACGGCTTCTAGTTCTAATTCAAATATTGATAGTTCTAGATTGAAATTGTTCTTTAAAAAAAAGAAAATTTGGTATTATTAATTATATAAATACATAATTTATGCAAAATCATTCGCGCATGCGCATAAAATAAATTCCTTTTTAGGAGTTAAATTTTTTACCTTGATCTTTTCTAAATCTGTTATCGCTTTTTTTGCAATAAGAGACGAATTTGTTGCAGAAACATTGGGGGTATTTTCAATATCGATGGGTTTATTTTCATTCTCTGCAGTAATTATGAGGTTAGATTCACCATTAATTTCTTGAACCGTTTTAATCCCGCAAGAAGAACTGAGAACCACTTTTTCTTCGTCTATATTTTTGCAGACTACTTCGTTTTGCGCATTTTCATTGATTTTCTTATCCATTTTTATGAATAACACTCAAAATTATACAACATTAAATTGATTGTCACAATTTTTTGCTATTAACTTATTGTTATGAGAGAAGTCGTGCACGTTGCTAGGCAACGAATGTATTGACAGTTGAGTGATATTGTGGCGGGAAAAATTTAAATTTAAATTATCGTTTAGATTTTAACAAAAATATTAATTTTACATTTTTTATTAGAATAAGATATATTCCGGAATTTCATATAATTCGCAATATATGAATGTAGTAATTATAGTTACGAAACTATTGTGCACTTGCACTGTTCCACATAAAATGCGAACTAACCTAATAGTACAGGCATTGAGTAGTTTTGCAAAGAAAACATTTTGCTTGCAAAAGGTGACGTCCTTATGATAACTCTGAGTTTGCGTCTTATGAGGTGCACGGCTAAATTCGAGTGTTTCTGGTTCTAGGTCTAGTGTAAAACTAGAACTAATACTAGACCGAGAACTAGAAACATTCGGGTTTAGCCGTCTTGAAAGACGTGCGGCTAAATCCGAATGATTCTAGATCTAGGTCTAGAGTTAATTCTTGTTGTATACTAGAATTATCATTAAAAATGTTGTTGTAGTTCAAACTAGACAGCGTGGGCTTAACTCTAAAGCAAACCAACCCAACCCAATCCTAAAGCAAATCAACCTAACTCAATCCTAAAGCAAACCAACCCAATCTAATCCTAAAAGAAATCAACCTAAACCCAATCAACTCGTCTCTCAAGATGGCTAAACCTGAATGATTCTAGTTCTAGGTCTTGTGTTAGTTCTAGTGAAAGTGTAAAACTAGAACTAACACTAGATCTAGACCTAGAATTATTCGAATTTAGTCGCACGTCTCTCAAGACGGCTAAACTCGAATATTTCTAGTTCTAGGTCTAGTGTTAGTTCTAGTTTTACACTATCACTAGAACTAACACAAGACCTAGAACTAGAATCATAGCTAGAAATATTCGGGTTTAACCGTGCGTCATCAGAGAAGACTGCATTTGATGCTAGTAAAGGAAATATTGTTTATATAAGACTACTTACTGCTTGCAAAAGACTAAATACTGTTGACAGAAGACTTAAAAATGCTAATAGAAGTCTGCATCTATTTGAAGTAGATAAAATATTGTTAATGGAAGACAAGGCTCTGCTAACAAAAGACTAAATAGTGCTTGTAAGACTACGTACTACATAGTAAAGAGTACTAATCGCTTGCAGAAGACCACTTACTGCTTATGGTAGACTAGATATTGCATGTAAACAGCTGGATACTGCTTGCAGATGACCAAAAAAGAGTACATACTGATAATAGAAGACTAGACTCAATGAAAAAAGATTAAATACTGCTGGCGGAAGTCTGATAACTTCTGGCAGAACACTAGATATTCTTAAATGTAATACTGGATGCTCCTCATAAGAAGTCATTGCACGTAAAAGACTAAATACTGCCAATGGATGACAAAATATTAGTAATATAAGAGTAGAAATGGGGCGAATGGCCCCGTGGTAAGCTCTCGGGCTACCACGCCGGCGTCCTGGGTTCGATTCCCAGTGAATACACGCCGAGTCGCTTCCCCGTCCTTCGGAGGGGACGTTAAGCAGTCGGTCCCGGCAACCAGTCTAACATCTCTGGTTGTCGTCAGATACGTGTGTAGTTGGAGGTTGTGAACGTAAAAACGGGTTGAAAGCGCGTCTGCGCTCTTTGAGCGGTACTCAGCCATGCACCCAAGTTTCTGGGCGTTGGAGTACCAGCCCGGCTTGGGGGTCGTCTTCAAATTCCTGGGCGTTGGAGTACCAGCCCGGCTGAAGGTGAGGCGAGAAGCGATATCAGCCTGATCGGATGCCATCTTCGAACATAAGGTCTCCAAATAGACCTACACATGGCCGAAGTAAACCGTGAGGATGTACAAAGGGACCGTTGGGGCCCAAGTGCTTTGGTTATACCACCTATGGTGTTTAACCAACCTCACATGAAACTACATACATACAAGAGTAGAAATTGCTTCTACAGGGGTATTTACTGCTTGCAAAAGATTATTTACTGCTTGCAGAAGATTATTTATTGCTTCCAGAAGATTATATACAGATGACAGAAGTGTGAAACTGCTGGCAGAACACTAGCAACTTTCTAGTTCTAGGTCTAGTGTTAGTTCTAGTTTTAATTTAATAAAAATATGCAACACAGTGATATCTAATTCTAACTAGCGCTGTCACTAGAACTAACTAGTCACTAGAGCTACCTAGCACTAGTTGTATCTTTTGTTCAAGAAAAATATACCACAATCTAACACTGAATAGCAATTAAAACTAGAATTAATACTAGACCTGGGAACATTCGAGTTTAAACGCGCGTCTTTCAAGACGGCTAAACCCAAATAATTCTAGTTCTAGGTTTTGTGTTAGTTCTAGTGATAGTGCTAGTGGAAAACTAGAAAAAACACTAGACCTAGAACTAGAAACATTCGGATTTAGCACATGCATCAGATTTGCATGTCCAACGTGTGCAAACTGTAACTCCTCCAAATTACCACGCAAGATCAACATTCTGTCAATGGTTTTTATGAAAGCTGCTAAACACCCAGAACTCTTAACTGACGTTCTGTTTACTGATGAAGCTGTATTTTGGGGATTATATAGAGAGAAAAGTCTGGTTCCAATCAATTGTGAGAGAATTATTATCATACGATTACTTAAAGGCATAAGTCTAAAAATCATCTCACATTCCTGCAAAAAGTTAAGAAGGTAATCACCCAGGATATGACTACTAAACCACCGATCATGATATAAAGAGTTATGGACAGCTTTCTTTGCTTATTTGTAATTGCCTTTTGAAATACGAGCATGAATTATAAGAGCCTGATTAAGATTATATGATAGGTGTAGAAGAACATATACTGTTGGCAGAAGACTAAATATAGCAGGCAGAAAATTGAAGCCTTCTCATGCCAGGTTGAAATAGATTGGGGAATCAAGGGGTAATACCTTACTAAAAAATTATTGTTCATTTGGCCCGGATGATAAGGTTGGGTAAGGATATATCCTGCCTTGTAGTTAAATGTTAGCTCATCAAGGGCTTAAGGCAGGAAATCTTGATCAAAAATGACCTGTCATTCAGGTTGAGAGTTGAAGCAGTGGATCCACAGAGAGAAAAATTGGAGTAAGTTAAATACAACTTGGACGGATTAACCATCAAGGCATCAAAAGACTTTATCAAAACTGCATCGACCAGAAATTAAACGAAAACTTACTACAACATAATCCAAGAACAGTGCATAAACACATAGTTGAAACATTGCATTCCGCAGCCCAAGAAGCGTTAGGTACAAAGCAGATTATTCACACCAATTACAATAGAACAAAAAATTCCAAAACTTATTTTCCAGTAAGTACTGACAAAAAAATGGAACCCAGGAAGACCAGACGTTTGAACAAGCAGCATTTAAAGGACAATGTTGGAGAGAAACCTAAGACTAGAAGACTGGGAGGATAGAAGAGCCGAGATAAATATCGAAGAAATAAAAGCTGCTATTAGAAGATAGATACTGCATACAGAAAACTACATACTACTGATAGAACACTAAACACTGCTAATGAGAGCTTAGACACTGTTAATAGAAGACTTGATACTGCTTGAAATGAACTAATACTAGATACAGCCAAGGATAGACATTTAGGGGCTCAATTTCAAACATCTTTAAATATATTTCTTTACTAACTTTATTTTATGGATACCTATTTATTAAAGTTAGATAAAAACAAGATAAGGTAACATGACATGCTTTACTTAATCTTCACATTCTTTGAGGTTAACTCTCTCCAAGTTAACTCTTAATAGTTCTAATTTTTCTTGAACACCCTTCTTTAGTAGTACCAAATTATTCAATTGTTCATTAAGATGGTCTTTTCTCTTTGTAACTTCTTTTAAGTGCTCTGAAATCTCGTCGTGCTGGTTTTTAAGATTGTCTATAATGTTTTTATATATTTCCATAAACTTATCATCGATATGTCCTTCATCCAAACTTGACTGAATTTCGGAAATACCTGCACGAAGTTCATGCACACGAACACGAATAGTTGTAGATTGTTTAGTTGCTTCATGAAGTTTTAATCTAATTGCGGCAAATTGTACGTTGAGATTGAGCTTAAAAGAAAAATGTGTTTATTAATTTTTAATGTATATTGATTATTATGATTTAATTATTTATTCATTACAATTTTGTAACAATAGAGGTCATTATTGTATAAAAAATTGTGTACGCATGCGTTAACATTTTTTATCTTTTAAGTCTTACCCTGGAAGTATTTATATCTTTTAACATTCTTTTTATAGAATGCGATATATTTTCCGTGGAAATCTTGGAAACGTATTGAAAGTGTAAGGGTTCACTTTCATTTTCTTTGGAGTTAGTGAGGTTAGAATCCACATTATTTTCTTGTTGGGGTTTTATACCAGAAGGAGTACTCGCAGGCACTGTGTCTTCTTTTATATCATTGCCGGTCGCTTCGCTTTGATTATTTTCATTATTTTCTTTATCCATTTTTTATGAATAATACTAAATAATTCACCACTGAACAACAATCACTTCTTTCTATTAAGTTATTGTTGAGAGAGGTCACTTGCGTGCTAAGAGGCAAGAGTTTGACGTTTGTGCGATATGGTGGCGGGAAAAATTTAAAGTATGAAATTTGGATATTTTTTTATTGAAAATTAATGAAAAACATTGTGACATAAGATTTCAATTAAATTGTACAACCAGATTCTTTTTTCATATACACTATCACGTTAAATTGGGATAAATTAATTAGTAATTTTATTTGTGTAGCAGCTATAAAAATGACATACATATTTAGTGTTAGATATCATGTGCTAAAAGTGGATACTTATAATTTAGAGTAATAGAAACCACTCGCTACTCTGGATTGTGGTATCCAGAATTTATTTCTGAGGTCTTTCCTAGTCTTCGTCAACATTATCTTTAGCATTCCCTAACATTGTCACTAAATCTCTCAGCATAATCTCAATAACCTCTCAACATTGTCTTAATCTCCAATCTCAACAACTTTTATATGGGATTTATGACATTAAATTATTCCTCATATATCTCAATGCAATCCATAACATTCCTCAACATCATCATATCAACATCATCATTAATACCCTTGATATCACTCAAAATCATTCCTATTATGTATAATATCGTGAGGAATGCAACTCTCAATATTGTATCCTACCGAGCTTATCAATACCGCTCTTAATATCTCTAACTAATATTCTCGACATATGAGAACATTGTCTCTAATATCAGTATCTTCTCATTCAACATCTTCCTTAATTACTCTAAACATAGTCCCTGATGCCTTGGAGTATTGAATGTTGCATCAAAATCGTACCTGATATATCTCAATATGATCATAAATACAAATCGACATTATCCTAGTCTTCTTCAACACCTTCTCTATCATCTATCAATGATGTTTCAAAGAATTGTCTCTGACATCAAAATTGTTATCTTCCCATTACATTCTTATCGTATCGTATCATATTATGTTGTTATCTTGATATGTCTAAACAGTTTTGCCGAATGTTATTCTCAATAGCCTCGAATATCTTCTTATATCATCTATGGCATCTAAATCCTTTGCTAAATGCCATTATCACCATCTCAAACGTGTTCCCCATTCTCATCTAGTGGCATCATCTTAACATCTCTGCTATCAACATGTTCCAACCCAACTCAACCTAATCCAACCAACTCTTTTTTTGGCACTGGGGAGGGAAAAAAGCGTTATGCACTCCGGCTGACTGTTGGCGCCTTAAAGTTATTGTAATAATAAGCGATGTTTCTTCGGCCGGGAGTGTCGGAAAATGATAGCCCTTTCATCTATCCTCTAAACTTCCTCCTCCCTCTTTCTGCTTTTTTTCTGTACGGCACTACCTTCACGGGTTTTCTTCATCGTACTGACACCTTCTCTTTTCTTATTTTATTTTTATTCTCTGACATCTCTTGTCTCTTTTTTGTCCTGACACTATATCTGATGTATTCCTTCATCGACACCCAATTCTTTTCACTTTCCGTCATCGTCTTCACGCAGTTATCTTCACTCAAAAGTCTTTCTACCTATCACATTGAAAGAACGTGTGTTCAGCGTTTTCCTCTTCATCACAATATCGACGTCTGTCGTCGAATACACCAATCTTTTCGTCCATCCCACTCTGTGCCACTCTTTTTCAATCAAGTCTTGAGTTTCACCTTCGTACAGTCCCCAGTTTTTTTGACATATAAGTCCATCAGTGGCATATCCCCAAGTAACTGTATATAGGGCTTCATTCGACGTGGTCCTGTACGCGCTAGTCACCTTTATCAGAACTCCCGTCTGTACTCTTGTCACTTACTAGAAATTTTGCTTAACTTTTATGGCATATCTCCAGACTCTGTTATCTTGTTAGCTCTATCTCTTTGTTAGCTATGTATTGCGATGGGACGGACGACGCGATGTCAGACATACCTTCTTCGAGTGTGAAAGATAAGAGGCGAAACAAACAGAAAACTAAAGAACGCAATAATCTCGGAAAACTGCAGTGACATCATGCTACATAGTGAGGACAACTGGAAAGCTATGGAAAACTTCGGGAGGGAAGTTGTTGAAACAAAAGAAAGAGAAGAAATACTGCTACAAAATACGTAAGAGAAAGCCAGAACTTTTATAGATGACCAAGAATAGAAAAGTATATAGATATAGTACGAAGGAACCCTGGAAAAGAAGATCTTCTGGAGAGATAAATAATGGAGCTCAGGCTGTATTCTTGACAGGGCAGAAAGAAGAAAAAAGATCTCCAATGCAACGCCACCTGGCGGATTCTGGAGAAGTTTCCAACTTGAACATCTGAGGCGCCAACAGTAGGTCGAAGTGCGCAACGCATTTTCTCCTCCTGTGCACAAAAAAAAGGTTGAGTTGATAACAGAGATGTTTAGAGATATTCAGATCAGTCCTGAAAAATCCTTTAAAATGAGTTCAAACATGATACGTTTAATTCCAATATTACTAGGATATAAGCAACTTCCGATTTGAAATGTCAATGTCGTTTTGATATATTCTTAATTGTTTATAAAATGTCTTAATATTTGTTACAAAAACCAAAATATAATAAAAAAAAATCAAAAGTTAAGGTTGGTATTAATATTTAAAAATGAAATTGCTACCTTCATTGTTGCTAACTTCGGGTTTAATGTTTTTTATTCTAATTTTTTTGTTTTTTGAGATAAATGCATCATGTTTGGACCTTTGATTATATATAATATGGATTGAGCTAACTGAATATATCTACTAACAAAAATGTTGCTCAAGGTGAATAGACGCAGATGGAAAGCGATAATGTGAAAGTGTAACAAAGATAGATATATTATATGTCAGTACGCTTCTATATCTATCTCACTTCTATCAGGACACCCATTATATGGCAGTACGCTTCTATGTCTATCTCGGTTCGATCACCTTGCGCAAGCTATCTCTCTCGTTGGCTCAATCCATATTATATATAATCAAAGGTTTGGACTCATTTTAAAGGTTTTTTTAATCAAGAATACATCATGAAAGAACACATAAAGATGTCCATTTGTCTATTATATATTATGATAACTAACTTCAGGTTTAAAATGTCAACCTCAATTTTGACATATTTGTAATTTTCATTAAAAATGCTTCAATACAGGGTCATCCACGACGACCGTCCATTAGAACTTTACAGGGTTCTGGCCAAAACAAAAATTTGAAAATTCATATTTAAGTATTATTAATTGCGTTCTCTTCATCTAAAATATTTTCAGATTTCTAGCACTTCCGGTTATACCGGAAGTCGCCGCCTACTTTATTTTTTTAAATGGAACACCCTATATATTTTTACATATTTGTGTTTGTCTGTTTTCAAGGTTTATGAATAACTTTACTTTTTGCAATTTTATTCCGCCGTTCTCGAGTTATTCGAATTTTTCTAGAAAAATCTGCTCCACAAGTACCCGAAACGAACCTGAAAATACATTAGTTAAAAAACTGGCATCAAACATCACAAGTCTGCAAATTTTCAAACCCCACTTCATTTGGTTATTCACTAGGTCACACTAGGCACTTAATTTATGGCACACTAGGTTAAATATCGATATATGTGTGAATTTTTCAAAAAACCCTAATTATCTCCCGAACTATAAATGTTAGGTATAGGACACATCGGATGTAAAAGATGTAAAATGAGTAACAGAAGACGACTATGTAATAAAATATGGGGGGTGCCATTTAAAAAAATGAAGTTATTGTACTTCCAAGTTTCGAAAAGTTAATGTGCCATAGTAAAGTGACCAAATGTTCTAGACAGCCGTACTCGGCACCAAAACATACTCCATCATGTTGCTTAAGCATGTTCTGAATCCTAAATTGATATCCCAAAAATCAAGTGCTCTCTGATTTTTTGAACAAATGTCTGCTGGAGCAGATTTTTCTAGAAAAATTTGAATAACTCGAGAACGGCCGAATCAAATTGCAAAAAGTAAAGTTATTCATAAACCTTGAAAACAGATAAATCCAAATATGTAAAAATAATATAATAAAAAATATATAGGGTATATATTTTCCATATATATATATATATATATGTTCCATTTAAAAAACGAAAGTAGGTGGCGACTTCCGGTATGACCGGAAGTGTTAGATATCTGAAAATATTTTAGTCGAAGAGAACGCAATTGATAATACTTAAATCTGAAATTTCAAATTTTTATTTTGGCCAGAACCCTGTAAGGTTCTAATGGACGGTCGTCGTGGATGACCCTGTATAAGTACAGACACGACATATTTATCTTCAATATTAATGAAGTTATGATCAACTTCTGGTTAGAAATGTCAACATCAATTTTGACATATTTGTAATCGTCGTGAAAAATCCTTTAAAATGAGTCCAAACATGATACGTTTAATTCCAATATTACTCGAGATATAAGCAACTTTCGGTTTGAAATGTCAATGTCATTTTGACATATTCTAAATTTTTTCTAAATTGCTATCTTCATTGTTGCTAACTTCGGGTTTAATGTTTTTTATTCAAACTTTTTTGTTTTTTGACATAAATGCATCATGTTTGGACTCATTTTAAAGGTTTTTTTAATGAAGATGACAAATATGTCAAAATTGACGTTGACGTTTCAAACCGGAAGTGGTTGTATCTCCATTAATATTAAAGTTAAACATGTCGAGTTTGGACTCATTTTAAAGGATCTTTTATGAAGTTGACAAATATGTCAAAATTAATTGTTGAAAGTTCGAACTTTTCGGTTTTTTGAGATAAATGCGTCATGTTTGGACTCACTTTAAAAGTTATTTTATGAAGATTACGAATATAATATTAAAATTAAAGTTGACGTTAACAACTGACAGTGTTTTTCAAGACTAAACTCGAATGTTGCTATAGTTCGTTTTTTTTCTATTATACTTGTCAATGTAAATTTTTTAGGGTTTCTGTTGGTATTATCTAAGACCCTTATAAAATGTATGTTGTTTTCCTGATTTTTAGTAACATTTTCAGTGACTAAATAGT